GGAGCCGGTTGCCCACGCCCAGCGGGAGCCTGCGTCGCGGGCGGAGGGAGCGTGGGGGGCGCCGTGGCCTGGCCCCGGTCAGCCAGGACTCCTGGGGTCTGGATGCCGCAGGGGGTGGGGGCCGTGCTCAGCCCCCGCTTCCTGACAGCCCGATCCGCCCACCCCGACCCCGGAGCAGGAGACAGCCCCAACGGGGACCCTGCGCTCTGCAGCCTGCGCCAGCCCCACAGCAGCAACCGGGTGCGCAGGTGACCTGGGGTGTTGGACTGGCACAGCGACCCCCCGGAGCCCAGGTGCCCCCCAGGCCGTCACCGGCAGGGCTGCGCGGGGCAGGTGTTTCCCTGGGGATGGGAAGTCCCGACTGCCTGATCCCCACCTGGAGTCGGCGCCCCCCAGAACCGCAGCGCCCGGCCCCTCGCAGCCCCCTCCTGGCCCCAAGCCAGCACTCCCCGAGAGTGGCCTGAGCCCCGCAGCCCAGACACCCCCGTCCCCTCCCCGCAACCCACTCCCCAGTGCAGGAGACCGGGTGCCGAGCAGGGTCTGGAGCCGGCCCTGAAGGCACCGGGGACTTCAGCAAGGCTTGAGACAAGGTCCCAAATGACCTTCCATAAATGGTCCCTGTTTGGGATGAAGAGAAGCAAACGGGGGTCCCACGGGGGTCCCGCAGGGGTCTGCATTGGGACCGGGGCTGTTAGACGCCTTCATAAATGATCTGGAAAAGGGGTGAGCAGTGCGGCGGCCCGATTTGCAGATGACACGAACTGATTGAAAGTGGAAAGATCAAGATGGACTGTGAGGAACTACAGCGGGATCAGGCAGGACCGAGCAAATAGGCAACGCGATGGCAGATGAAACTCAATGTAGGCAAGGGCAAACTGATGCCCCTGGGCAAAAATGACTCAGATTCCACCTATGCTAGGACAGGCAGTACCTGAGCTGTAGAGATCAGAGCCCGTGCCCCTCACTCCCTGCTCCAGAGCTCCCGAAGCGGGGGCTCGTGGCCACCGCATGTGGCAGGAGCTGAGAGTTTGTCCAGATCCACCAAGGGACTGGACACAGTCTTGGAGGAAAGGGGCTTCGGGAGCTCTGGAGCAGGGAGCGAGGGGCACGGGCTCGGCACCAGCCCTGCCTGGATCCTCAGTGCTGGAGGCTGCAGGGGAGGAGAGGAGTAGAGAAAACCCTGCTCAGACCCGTTCGCTCCCCCTTCCCGCCCCTGCTCTCTGTCCGGCTTGACAGGCCTCTTTGACACGTATTGGAGACGTGATCATACAAGGGAGAGGAAAGCAGCCCCAGCCCCCTAGCCAGAGCCAGCTTCCCGCTGGGATGGATTGTAGCTTGGCCAGGGCCAGGAGGAGGCTGACCAGGAGTCCCCAGGACTCGGTGGTGACACAGGTGGGTGCATCAGCAAACGGGTGCAGGGACAAGAGCAGCCCGAGCCTCGGCAGGATGTCTCGGAGGAGGCAGCGCAGGGGCTGCAGCCGAGCGCTCGCCAGGTCTGCCCCTGCTCTCGGGAGGGGCAGGGGTCAGCGGTGTCCGTGAAGCGTGCCAGGTACACGCCTGCCTTGTGCGACGCGGGAGAAGGGCGAGGCGCGCCTGGGGCTGACCAGTGCCTGGCGGCTCTTACGCTCTAAGCGACTTGGAGCCACGGGGGCTGGACGGAGGTGGACGCTACTACAAGGTGCACAGACACCGGGCTCAGCAGCCACAAGCAATGGATCCCTGGCGAGATGGCGGGAGGTTTGGAGTGGACATTATTAGTCCTCTGCCTGCTCCTTGTCTTTATTGATGCTGTGGTGCTGACACAGGAAGCTGCTGCAGCAAGTTTGCAGATGACACGAAACGGGAAGGGCTGGGAACCGGCTGGGAGATGCGAGCGCGATTCAGAAGGATCTCGGCGGGTGGGCTGGAGCAACGGGATGAAGTTCAGTGAGGACAAGTGCAAGGGGCTGCAGCTCGGGAAGAACAATGGATAACACAAACACAGAATGGGGAGCAGAGGCTGGACGGCAGCGCCATGGAGGTGGATGTGGGGTCCTGGTAGACCACAGACTCACTCGGAGTCTGCCGTGTGCTGCAGCCACACAAAAGGCCAATGTGGGGCTCGCCGGAGCAGGGTCAAGGGCTTGCGTGGGGCTTTCCAGCCGAGTTGTGGCAAGGGTCACAGGCGATGGGGGCAGGCTGCAGCTTGGTGGCAATCGCACGGGCAGACGGCAGGTTTGGTGTTGGTGCTGTCACGGATCAGCCCCGGCAGGCTCTGTGCAGAGCTGCTGAAAGTTGCGGTTCCCCGCGCACCCATCCGGTGCAAGACATGGGGGGTGATGGTGCCTCTCCTGCACACTGCGTGCGGGTCTGGGCTCCACATCTTTAAAAGGGATGGAGAAGTGAGAGAGGGTCCAGAGGCAGCAACACAGATGACCAAGGGCTTGCAAGGCAAGTCCTGCAAGGAGAGGCTGAAGGAACTGGAGACATGCAGCTTGCAGAAAAGGTGCTGAAGACGGGCCATGACAGCAGTCTGCAAATCCCCGCGGGGCTGCCAGAGAGAAGAGGAAAGCCCCTGTTCTTTCTTGTTGCAGAGAGGAGGACGCCGAGCAATGGCTGGAAGTTGCAGCAAAGTTGGTTTAAATTGGAGATCTGGAAACACTTATAGAATCACAGAAAACGAGGGCGGGAAGGGACCTCAGGGGGTCACATCTAGTGCAACCCCCTGCTCCAGGCAGGACCAGCCTCACCTACACCATCCCAGCTAAGGCTGTCTACGTAGATCTTAAACTCCTCCAAGGATGGAGGCTCCACAACATGTCCGGGGAGCCTGTTCCAGTGTTTTACTACCCTCCTCAGGTGAAAGCTGCTCCTGATATCGAACCTCAGCTTCCCTTGCTGCAGCTTGAGCCCACTGCTCCTCGTCCTGTCGTCTGCCCCCACTGAGACCAGCCCAGCTCCATCCTCTTTGCACCCCCCTGCAGGGAGGTGAAGGCTGCTATTCAATCCCCCTTGGTCTGCTCTTCTGCAGACTCAATCAGCCCAGTTCCCTCAGCCTCTCCTCACCAGTCCTGTCCCCCAGCCCCACAACCATTTTCATTGCCCTCCACTGGACTCTCTCCAACTTGTCCACGTGGAGGGTCCCAAAACAGTACTCCAGATGTGGCCTCCCCAGTGCCGAATGGAGGGGAAATCACTGCCCTTGACCTCCTGGCAGCGCTCCTACCCATGCAGCCCGGGATGCCGGCAGCCTTCTTGGCGACACGGGCACGCTGCCGGCTCCTGTTCAGCGTCTTGTCCCCTGCTCCACGATGTTTGCAGGGACTGAGGTGAGGCTGACAAGTCTGTAGGTCCCTGGATCCTCCTTCATCACTTTCTTAAAGATGGGCACTAGATTTGCCCTTTTCCAATTGCCTGGGACCTCTGCTGATCGCCAGGAGATTTCAAAGATCATGTCCAGCTGCTCTTTAATCACATCAGCCAACTCCCTCAGCACCCTCTGTGGCGGGCCAGTAGGGGGCGCTCCTGCGTTGAGCCGCCCAACTCCCTGCGCCGCCCACCTTCCCGGCTCCGAGTGCCTCCCTGGGGTGCCTCCCGTCCGGCCGACCCCTTCCCTGGAGCACCCCCGCTAGCCTGGGGGTCCCGCTGCCACCATCCAAGGCTCTGGACTCACTTCTGGCTCTGCGCACCTTGGAGAACACAGGCCTGATCGTCCAATGGGTCCTAGACCCAATACAGGCACTTGGGGCACTTCCCCAAGTCAGGGGCTTATTAGGAAGCCTCCCTTAGTCCACCGACCTAAGGGGCCTCCTTGGCATAATTTAGACCCACCCCTCAATAAGTCTCCCACACCGGTCACAAAGGAGAACTTTATTGATTACAGGGGTAGGGC